TTATTACAAGACATCACAAGACATAAAAACTGCACAATACATAATTGGGTTGTACATCATATCAATTTTCTTCTTTTTCTTTCTTAAACACTTTTGATTTAAAATTTTGTTCTGCTAAGAATCATAAGCGACTTGTTTTTTATAATGTTGGTCAGTTAGCCAGTTCCCCCTCCATTCAGAATTGAAATTTCAATTGCCATAAATACTGATGTCTTTGGAATGGCTTATTGGATTTCCAGTTCCTGGCAATTATAATTTTAGTTGCCATGAGGCAGTGTATGGCCAGACATCTATATATTTTTGGGAGTATATCAAGTTTTACATGTAGCAACGCGGTCTCTGGGCTCCACGTCACCTTTTCATTTGATATGCGTAACAAGAACTTACTACACTTTGCATCATTATCATAGGTACTTATTACTATTTCGTTCTCCTACCTATTAGTATCATCTATTGGATATCTAGTACTATTTATACTATTCCTATATAAGAACTGTGAATTGCAAAATAGTTTTTTTGCATATATTCACAGGATGATTAAGTCGAGCTATATTTAGAACTTATCATCCACTTTGAGACTTTATCATTAGTCACTACTGACATTATACCTATACGGACCTCTTATTTTGCTATAAGTTAGTGAACTATCAGACTTGTGCCACATTGGCTCATACTTTAGTAGCAGACCGTGCAAATTGATACTTTAATATTATTTACATTTGTAACAAGAACTTATTACACTTTCTGTCATTCTCTTACCTATCAAACGTTATCCACCCACTAGGCTCAATTACATATATACTGTTCTCTATTTGTTTTAGCCTTGTATACTAATTTGTGTAATTTTTTTGTTTTCTTTTTACTTTTAATTTGTAGTTTGAGATGTCGCTGTATTTTTTTACTTCCTGCATTAAACAGAGGAGGGAAGATTTGGGCAAAGTTAGTGAGATTATCATGTCATCCTTGTATAGATATATTTTAATATCTTGACCTTTATAAGATAAATCTTTTATCTCCTAATTCTCTCTGATTTTTATTGCTAGAGGCTCAACCGACATAATATACAGTAATGGGGACAGGGGACAGGGGACAGCCCTGTCTTGTACCATTTTGTAAATCAAACCATCCCGCACAAATATTACCACCTATAGTTCTTGCTGAAGGGTTAGAATACAGTGACATTATATCTCAATGTATCCATTCCTCTAAACCAAAAGATCTTAAGACATTTTCTAGGTAACCCCAACTGACCCTGTCAAACTTTTTTTGGCATCTAACGACAGGGCCAGCAGGGGCCATCCTCTACATTGATCTAGAATATCCAATATCTTTCTCGTACTATTACCTGAGGATCTGTTTGGTACAAAACCTATTTGGCCTCGATGGACTAACTTTTTAATTATTAATTTAATACATTCTGCCAATATGGCAGCATATATTTTCAGATTGGTGTTTATTAATGAAATTGGTCTGTAATTACTCACATCTGTTGGATTTTTATCAGGCTTAAGTATCGGCAGAAGATTTGCTTGTAATAATTATTTTTGTTTTTTTTTAACTTATTGCAATTTCATTAAATAATGCAGTCAGGGGTTGTACAAGGACTGTTTTAAATGATTTAAAATAAAAATTACTAAATAAATCCGGACCTGGTGTTTTATAGATATTTAATTTATTTATTTATCTGTCAACTTCATTGGCAGTGAAATTTTAATTTTGTGTTTGAAGATCAGATTTTGGAATTTTAGGAATATTGATTTTTAAAAAAATATTCTTTGATTGCTGCTTCATCATGAGAGAGTCACAAATTATATAACTAACTATAGAAGTCATTAAACGTTTGACTAATTTTCTCTGGGGTGGCAAATGTTTTATTATCTTCGATTAGTTTATCTATCCTATTTTTATATTTTGTAATTTTTTTGTCACATTTTTACTTGATTTATTCCCTGAGTAGTAATTATTTAGTCTAAGTTTATTTAATGTTATACTCATTTTTTCTTCTAGTTTTAAATTGATTTTATTTTGAAGTTCAATTAGCATTTTTTTTCATTTTGATTGGATGGTTCTTTTTTATTAATATTTGATAAATTAAAAAAGGAAATATATAAATCTGCTAGGTCTTTTGTCTTTACTTTTTTTTTCTATTGATTATTTTTCCATCTTAATTAAGTAGCCTCTCATGACTGCCTTGTGAGAATACCAAATTACCGAATTAGACAGATCCGGTGAACAATTACTCTTTATTTTATTTTGTATTTATTATTGTATCATCTAGTCTCCATGTAGATCTACCCATAATTGGTGATTTACCAAACTCTACTATTATAAAACTATGGTCTGACCATGTATTATCTGTGATTTGTATTTTGTTTATATTACATATGGAGTTTGCCTTCACTATGCACATATCAATTCTTGAATAAGAACCATGCACTTTCGACAGATGAGTATAGTCTCTTCCCTCATGGGTGCATGGTTCTCCACGCATCATACAGTTCAAATCTTCTACAGATACCATTTAGTTTCATTGATTGTTTTATAATATATGTTTTTTTCTTTGGGAGTGTTTGAACTGTTTTGTCTATGTTATGGTCTATCACACAATTAAAATCCCCAGCTATGATTAATGTACCTTTATTTACCCTTCAAACTCTATCCATTGTCTTTGATAATAGAGCCGTCTGTTTTTTATTTGGTAATTACACAATGACCAATGTATACATCTCTTTTTCAATCCTACATATCACTATCAAAAATCTAACTTCTAGATCTCTATCTTGATAAATTATTTCTATCTATTTGATTGTTTGAAAAGCCACACCTCTTTTTTTATTCTCTAAAGATGCTTGTAAGATAATTGGGAATTTTTTCCCTCCCCATTTTTGTATATCTGACTTTTTCCAGTGGGTTTCTTGAATGAAACCCACTTGAAATTTTTCAGAATGAAAGGAGTTAAATATCATACTTCTTTTTGTTGGAGCGTTTAAACCTTGTGCATTTACTGATATTAACTTAATCATTTTATATCCAATAATGTTTTACCCACAATTAAATTCCTGATCTGTGTACAAACAAAACATTCTATCAAACATTGAACATAAAAAGAAAAGCTAGTACCTAGTTCTTCATACACATATAACAACAAAAAATATGGGATGAAATTTCCCATGATTTTTCCAAAGCTCCTCAGAGCCTTGGAAAACTTTGTGGAATTTCCACACATAGTGGGGTAAGCCAAGGGAGTGGTTATAATATCTACTCCGTTATTATTTGGAGTATTTGGGGGTTTCAAGTAAATTTTTATTTATTATGTTTGCTTATTTAAAAAAAAAAAAAAAAAAGGTCATCGCATTATTATGTTATTCCCTTTTTATGTAACCCTTATAATATAAAGTCTAATATTTGGTTTAAGATTATCTAATTCTATGTAATATTTACTTTATGTTACCTACACCTTAAACCTTTTTCAATATTCCTTGTAAATAAAATCGTGAAATTACTTGTAAAACATACTTGTGATAAAACATCAATAATATGTTTGCTCAAAACCTCTCCCTTCTCTTTCCTTTTATTTTTCCCTTCTTTTCCTTTTCTTTCCCCTTGTTACCCTCTGATCTATATCGTGCATTGTGTCAACACTGAAAAAAATGAAAAATAAAGTAAAAAAATAGAAAAAACAGTGAGCAAATCTAAGATCTTTTTCCCCTTTTCCTTCCTTTTTCTCTCTCTCTTAAACATCACCCTTATTATTGCACAATTTATTTCTTATAAGATAACTTTAACCATGTTCCCATTTCTTTTAATCCTCACTTCACATCTATTGAAAATATTATAAAACTCCATTTGTTTAAATTCTTTCACTTGTGTAGATATATTCATTTATAACTTAGACAATTTTCATTCTGTCTCCATATTGTGCAATTTCTTGGGAAATTAGTTCTAAAGCATAATATTCCTCCATATATTCATTGATATTTCTTACAATTACCCCATGAATGTGTTAATATGTTCACACTATTGACAAAAAAAATAAAATCTCACAACCTTTTTCCTCTATAAGTGTCTGTATTCATCCATGAATTTACGTAGTTCTTTTTGTTTAACCATGTTTTTACTTTTTCAGGTGAATCGAATATATTCGTTTGGGCTTCATAATTATTAATCATTTTTTTATTATTCTTTATTTTATTGAGGCATTTAAGTGATACTTATCAGAATATAACAGTGGGAGTTCACATGAGCCCCGAATGCAATCAAGAGAAATAGACTCCAGCGAAAGGTAGCCTCCTTTTTTTTTTGTAACAGGTATAATAGAACAGTGCATGTGCGGTATTCAAGCAGTTAAAGACATAAGATGATAATATGCATTATATGTGATATATATGTATTATATATTAGTATATGTTGTCATGTTAGACGCAGGCTAGATAACAGGCAATGTAACATTTTCTTACACGCCGATAAAACGTCAAGTAGCATTATAAACATTATAAAATAAAATCAGGCAATGTATAGGCGTTTTAGAGGTCGTGACCCTTCAGGGTGCTCTAAACATTAGGGGTCATAACATTTGCAGCTTAATAAGCTTTGGTTGTTGCGGGTATGTTATACTCTGCAGGGGCTATGTGTCACGGCCACCATGCTTTGATGGTGAGTGCAGCCCACATGTGTGGCAGAGTTAGTGAGTGATACTAGAAGTGTGTCTCTCCTTCCCTAGTATCCTGGACCATTACCTTATACCCATGCAGACTTTCATGGTGATATTCAGTGTCAGGGTTCCATCTGTCCCAATGTGAGTTAGTTCAAGTTGGGTACCGGGTAGTAAGTAGTGAGTCATTCAGCTATATTTCTGTATATAGTAGGGAATAGCGCGGTGATTAGTATGTGCTACGTTAGTTTTGAGCTTAGTGTATGTACCTATTCTGGATGTTGAGGAGAGAGTCGCTTAGGTGATCTTGTGCACATTTTTTCCCCGTAGTGCGATAAGGATTGCTGTTTTATCTTGGCTTTTGCAGAAGGTGACTATCACGTCTCTTGTAGCTGAGGTTGGCGCTTTTGGGAATCCTGAAGAGATTGTCCAGGATAATATGTTTGGCTTGTGTGGGTGCCAATATATTTGTGAGCAGATGTGTAATGACTTGTGGCAATTCAGCTTCGGTTATCGTTTCAGCGATCCCTCTAACCTTTAAGTTGTTCTGCCTCTTTGTGTCCTCTTGGTCTGCTAAGCGTTGGTCGAGTTTCTGTTGTTTGAATTTCAGGTCGTTTACGGCTTTGTGGAGGTCGCCAATGTCCTGGGAGTTGGTAGTGGATGCGCTTTCTAGCGTGCTTATGTGGCCTGTCAACCCCTTAAGGTCGCCCCATAGGGAAGTGACATCTTGAAGTATATTGTTTTGTAGGTCAGTGAGCAGTCGTTTTAAGACCGCTGTGGTGACCGGCGCTGAGTCCACGTCTGTCTCGCTTGACTGTGTTGGTCGCCGCGGGATGGGAGCTGGTAGGTACTCTTCTCCGGAAAGATCGTCAGAGAAGTCTGAGCAGCCTCCGTGAAGCACGCCATGTTTGGGCCAGTTGCGTCTCGTGCCCTTCTCCACAAGTCCCCGTTTGTTGGCAAAAAATGTGCCGAATAACTCGTCTTATACTCGAGTATATATGGTAATTTCTCCAGAAGCCCTTCAAGCAGGGGAAATATTTCAACACATACGCTAGCTATATGTTGAATAGAGAAGCTTATTTTGTTTGATCTGGTTTAGGTTTTAATTAATTATTTATAGCACTGGGTTTCATACCTTGTGTAATTTTGCAGGCTGTCTCCGTTTTAGCTTTACCAGAAAAAAATGTTCTATTCAGCTGCATAATACCCAGCAAATCAGACCATACTGCCACAATCCTGCTCAAACTCAAATAGGCACTTCACGTTGTCGGCACCTAGTTCTCCCCTTTCACGCCATTTCATCCACGGCTTTCCCCGCTCCAACCCTCCTCACCAGCCTTCTGGAGGTAGCCTAAACTTCACTGACTCGGACACGGACTATAGTGGGTTTGCCGTAATAGATTTTTCCTCTTCTTCTCTTTGCGTTTTTGTCTCACTGCATTTCTATGTACCTCACTCCTCGTTCTCTGGTTCCGCTCCCCTAGTTAGACCTCACCTCATGGTGCGAGCATCAAAACGTCATCACGCACCTCCTGTATGTGCTGTGTTTTCAAATGATGGAATTTTAACACTTTCCATGCACTAATTCTACCACCAGTCTTTGTCAAACTTTTGGGTAGTCATTGTTTTGTGTCATTTTTCTCTCACATTGTACTTTAGGCATGAATTCTCAAGTTCAGGTTATGTTACTGACAAATAACACCACAATATGTGTTCAGCAACGTCTCCTGAGTACAACAGTGCTCCCAAAGAACAGGATTATGGGTTTTTGCAAACTTACAGGGGTCAAATGTAGGGATTTTCCCTTTTCCATGTTTGCACATTGAAATTTGCCAGATTGGTTTGCTGGGCCTATGTTGCCATTGAGACCGTATAGCAGCCCAGGCATGAAAATTAACCCTATCATGGCATGCCATTTGTAAAAGTAGACAACCCACGTTATTCAAAATGGGGTATGTCCAGTCTTTTCTAGTAGCCACTTAGTCACAAACCCTGGCCAAAATTAGCATTTATATTTTTATTTTTTGCATTTTTCACACTTAAACTACAATTTCACCGATGATATTATCAGTATAACACATTTTACTGCTCTAAAACACTCATATTTGTGTAGAGTAATGTCTCGGGAGTACAACACTACTCCTCAAGTTATGTTGATTTGTAAAGTTACAGGGTCAAACAATAAGATTTGCCAATTTCTGAGTTTGTAAATTGCTATTTGTCAGATTATTATTTGCCAGGTATGGCAGCACAGAAATGAAAATTAACCCCACCATTAAATACCAATTTGAAAAGGTAAACAAGCGAGGGTATTCAAAATGGGATATGTCCAGTTTTTTGTGGTAGCAACTTACCCACAAACGCTTGCCAAAGTTAGTGTTTGTATTTGTTTTTTGCATTTTTTTACTCAAATTCTTGAGCATCGAACTGGTCAAACTTGATCAAAGGAAAGGAAATCTGGACAAACCTTTGAGGAGATGAGAATGTTTCTGGATTTACCGCCTTAATACACTGTCACCAACAGGGTTGAATGAAGGATTTACCTATTCCCCCTTTATTAGTGATCTCTAAGATGATAATACCATCTACAATGTTACAGGGATTCTTACCATATGTTGTGACTTGGGAAATAGTAACCTTCACTTTCACATCGGTTTTTATTTATTTAATATTATTTTTTTCTTACGAGATACCCATTTAAGTGTAATAATTAGGTTAACCCCATGTGACCCTCCTCCCACAGAGTCCTCATCCAGTGACCTTCAAGTTAAATCATCTGTATAGTACACCTTATATGGATATTTACAGTATCAGGGATGTTATGGGTTATTCACTGCATATAAGGACTATTTACTTCCCAGTTGACAATTAAGGTCTAAACCCTTAGATCACTGGATCTATACTTGCAGATTTGCCCAACATCCTCAGTAATAATATCTTATATCTATAAAAAAGATGTACTCCTAAGAGGCTGCACTTTGACACGTTATTCACACCGGTATTGCCGGCAAGAGTTATCTATTTATATAGCACTGGATCCACGTAGGGCACCCCGATGCAGTCAGTATGTAACTGTGTACAGACAAACAACCAGTGCATGCTCATCTATATCACCTGAGACAGGAGGAGCTATCACCATACTGTATGGTGGCTTCCCCCGCCTTCACTCCGCCCTCTCTCCTTTCGGCAGTATGATAAATGTACTAAACCCAACCATCAATTGGAGGATATAGTTTCATGTTGGTATGGCCCAACTCGCCCTCAGCCCGCCCCCCACTGTTAATTCATTCAGATTCATGCCCAAGTAACATTGCAAAAGGGGAGGAGCCACCGCATGAAGGTGGATGTGCCGGCTCACCGTCTCCGCCACGCCTCCACACACACCGGTAAAAGGTCATCCAGGTGATTTGAGGACGAAGCGGATTGGTCCCTGGAGGTTTATATTCATTGCAGAAACTGAGGTATTTTTATCCACTGACGAAGGTGCAACTACACGCACCGAAACGCACGTCGGGTTCTTTTTGTTGTTTGTTCACAGATGGTAGCACTAGGTGTTTGACACCTCTATTCACTTTAATTTAGCAGCTCTGAGTTTTTTCTTTGGTTTATAGGGGTATCTGGGAGGTCTAAGCCCAACTACTCAGGGATAGCATAAAACACCCTTCAAGGTGTTGTTCTAGGAGCTACAGGGTCTAATAGTCCAGTATGCCTCCTCTCCTCGCCGCTTGACCTTAGGGCATATCCAGTAGTATCTGACATAGCATAGAACACCCTTGAAGGTGTTGTTATAGGCGCTACAGGCGTTATAGTTTAGAATGCTCTTTTTCTCTCCTGCTTCTTGATCTTAGGGCAATATCCAGCAGGATTTGAAAACCGCTGGGGATTTTGAGTAGTATTGTTTACCATAGATTTTCCACAAAGTAGTCTTGGTATTTGAGCCAACTTTAGGCTTAGGATTCAGACCTCTAGTAGGTCTTAGCTGCTGTCCCTGCTTTTTGCTAACTACTGACTCTAAACACAGTCATTGGACCTCCTATTTGATCGTTCATTGTATTGTTTCTTGAACTAGCCCAGCTCCATTAATTTTTTTGTTCGCTACTATATAGTAAGCTAACACTGTTTACTAGTCTGGGTTTATGTTTACAGTCCAAGGTCTGTGCCATTTTATTAAGACACAGAGTACCTCTAGATGACCTGTATATACCCCCTGCCACATAGCTACTGTTCCATATATGTAGTGCCCCTTTATATTTGTACATACCAATAAAGCATTGATTATTATATATATATTTAGTTTGGCACACTTTGGGACTATATACAATTAATGATTTTGGCAAATTTCATGACCACAACTCCGTGCTTATTCCTTGATTAGTCACAGTCTGTATCACTATAAGGTCTTTCCTTTCCCTGACTGTGTATTAAAAACCAGGTTTTGAGTCCCATTTCTATTTGAGACTCTACATATTTATTTGTTCCTCTTTTTCTGACTAAAAACTGCACTTTTACTGGTGATTTCATCGTCGTGATAAGTTTTACTGTTTTAAACACTCACATTTGTGTTCAGTAAAGGCTCACGTATACCAATACCCCCCATGTACATGTTTTATGGTGTTTTAGAAAGTTACATGGGCTTGCACAATTCAGTTTGCCAGATTGGTTTGCTGGGTCTGTGTTGACTTTTGAGATCATATGGTAGCCCAGGAATGTAAAATAACCTGATCATGGCATACCATTTTCAAATGTAGACAACCCAGGGTATTCAAAATGGGGTATTTCCAGTCTTTTGTAGTAGCCACTTAGTCACAAACGCTGGCCAAAGTTTATTTTATTTATATTTTATATATACACTGCTCAAATAAATAAAGGGAACACTTAAACAACACAATGTAACTCCAAGTCAATCACACTTCTGTGAAATCAAACTGTCTACTTAGGAAGCAACACTGAGTGACAATCAATTTCACATGCTGTTGTGCAAATGGGATACACAACAGGTGGAAATTATAGGCAATTAGCAATACACCCCTAATAAAGGAGTGGTTCTGCAGGTGGTGACCACAGACCACTTCTCAGTTCCTATGCTTCCTGGCTGATGTTTTGGTCACTTTTCAATGCTAGCGGTGCTTTCACACTAGTGGTAGCATGAGACGGAGTCTACAACCCACACAAGTGGCTCAGGTAGTGCAGCTCATCCAGGATGGCACATCAATGCGAGCTGTGGCAAGAAGGTTTGCTGTGTCTGTCAGCGTAGTGTCCAGAGCATGGAGGCGCTACCATGAGACAGGCCAGTACATCAGGAGACATGGAGGAGGCCGTAGGAGGGCAACAACCCAGCTGCAGGACCTCTACCTCCACCTTTGTGCAAGGAGAAACAGGAGGAGCACTGCCAAAGCCCTGCAAAATGACCTCCAGCAGGCCACAAATGTGCATGTGTCTGCTCAATCGGTCAGAAACAGACTCCATGAGGGTGGTTTGAGGGCACGACTTCCACAGGTGGGGTGCTTACAACCCAACACTGTGCAGGATGTTTGGCATTTGCCAGAAAACACCAAAATTCGCCACTGGCGCCCTGTGCTCTTCACAGATAAAAGCAGGTTCACACTGAGCACATGTGACAGACGTGACAGAGTCTGGAGACGCCATGGAGAACGTTCTGCTGCCTGCAACATCCTCCAGTATGACTGGTTTGGCAGGGGGTCAGTAATGGTGTGGGGTCGCATTTCTTTGGGGGGGCTGCACAGCCCTCCATGGGCTCGCCAGAGGTAGCCTGACTGCCATTAGGTACCGAGATGAGATCCTCAGACCCCTTGTGAGACCATATGCTGGTGCAGTTGGCCCTGGGTTCCTCCTAATGCAAGACAATGCTAGACCTCGTGGCTGGAGTGTGTCAGCAGTTCCTGCAAGATGAAGGCATTGATGCTATGGACTGGCCCGCCCGTTCCCCAGACCTGAATCTAATAAAGCACATCTAGGACATCATGTCTCGCTCCATCCACCAACGTCACGTTGCACCACAGACTGTCCAGGAGTTTGCAGATGCTTTAGTCCAGATCTGGGAGGAGATCCCTCAGGAGACCATCCGCCACCTCATCAGGAGCATGCACAGGCATTGTAGGGAGATCATACAGGCACGTGGAGGCCACACACACTACTGAGCCTCATTTTGACTTGTTTTAAGGACATTACATCAAAGTTGGATCAGCCTGTAGTGTGTTTTTTCCACTTTAATTTTGAGTGTGACTCCAAATCCAGACCTCCGTGGGTTGAAAAATTTGATTTCCATTTTTTTATTTTTGTGT